ACAGCGGGGCGTCGGGGGGGAGGAGGAGGAGGAGGAGAGGGGCCAAGAGTGGGGGAAGGAAATTGCTTCTACTCCCGGTAAATGAGGCCGAACAGTCCCAGTCCCAACGTGTGCTCTGATCCTAGGCATTTTTGCTCGAAGGTAAAAAAAAAATCTGTTAATACCGATGAGGTTTTCATTACTGCAGTTCTCGGAATAGTAGCCGCGCGGGGGAAATTCCGCGCGTGGTTGCTGCGAATCGAGCTCTACTGAATTTAGCTGGGATTTGTGGTGTGCCGACCAGTCGTTTCCGGTCCCCTTAATTAATAAACATCAGAATGTCTCATGCTTGACACCCCTGTTCAAGTCTTGCAAACTAACAGTGGCCCCTTCAGTCACTGAGCTAGTATATCTTATTTTAGCTCTTCCTTTTTTTCCTACTGCCTTCCACTTTTCCCAGTGTTTACAGCCTTTCTCTGTGAATCTTCCGGTATAATACAAAGGACCGGAGATGTGATTGATTCATGTCAGTAAAATTCGACGCTGGGTGATAGCTTTGCTGGATCGTTATACAGTTATGTCCTGTATCTACAAGATGAGCTTTTGAATTCTTTCGACCCCTTCCTTAGATAAAGATGCTATAAAACTTGGGGTTAAGTCAAATAGGTAGTTCAAAAATCAGGACAGATGTCATGCCTTGGCTGACAAATCTGGACTGCCAATAAAGCAAAATGCAGTTTAAATTCCATAGGAGACAGAATTATTCCTCTCTGTTCTCTATGAATCTGTAAACCCATTTAAGTGTCTTTCATAAGTTTATTTTGTAGGTTTGTGGCAGAAAGTGAAGATTTATTTTAGAACATGTCATATGTTTTCTAAGTGGAGGATTTTGGTTTTAATGTTATTTTTGAGGAGTTGGGGGAAAGGAAAGCCAATAACCTGTGGAAAACTAATTTTCCTCTCGTGCACCTTGTTTTCTTCTAGTGCTGCATTCACTGTGTGAGAAGGTAAGGGTTGGGCAGATAAGGACAAGAAACCAAAGTAGACCCTGGATTGAGCAAAATGAGCTACAGGACTGTTTGGCAGTTTTTTTATGCCCCAGGCAAAGTAGTAAATGGCAGGCTCTATTTTCTTTCTCTCTTTTCAAAAAGAAATCAAACTCTGAGAAGGAATTTGGTATGAGACATTGGAAAGCTAATGACCTCCTCCCTTGCCTGGCCTGGCTAATCAAAGGTGCCAGGCCAGTGATAACTAAATGGGCCACTGAAATAATAAATGGGTCTCTTCTTGAGGAAAGGCTCATTAGGCCCATTAGAAAGAAACTGAGCAATTATAGGCCCCTCACCAATGTTTCTTTTCTCAGCAAAGTAGTTGAGAGGGTGGTAACTGACCAGCTTCAGGCTCTCTTTGATGAAACCGATGCCCTGGGTCCATTTCAGTTGGGCTTCAGGCCGCACCACAGCACGAAAGCGACATTGGTCGCCCTGCTGGATAACCTAATTAGGGAGGCCAACAGGGGCAAAATGTCCTTGCTCGTCCTCCTTGATATCTCAGCCACCTTTGATACCGTCGACCACGGTATCCTCCTGGGGAGGCTCTCCGAGTTGTGGATTGGTGGCCTTGCTCTCGCTTGGCTCAGGGCCATCCCCAGAGAGTGCAGCTTGGGGAGAATGTATAGGCCCCATGGTCCCTCAGTTGTGGAGTCCCGCAGGGTTTGATCTCCCCAGTGCTGTTTAACATCTATATGAGGCTGCTGGGGGAGGGGGATGTCATCTGGGGATGTGGAGCTTTGTGTCACCAATATGCTGATGACACCCAGCTCTACATCTCCTTTTTT